GTTCTCTGCCACAGTTGAGAGATGTCACTGATACAAAATCCCACCATGCGGGTTCTCCATCTGTGACACGAGGGGCGCTAATAACAGACCTCCTAACTCAGCCCAGGGAGAGCGGCGCAGAGGTGAGGATGTGCTGAGGCCCCAGACGGCGGCAGCGCTCGGGCGCTCGCGGCCCTTCTCAGCGCTGTGCTTAGAGGATTCTTCTCACCAAGTGTCCGCGTGGTTCTTGATCTCTTTTGTAGGGTCGCTTCTCCGGCAAAGGCACGACCCTCAAAGACCAGTATAATGCTGACCTGGTCATCTTCCTCGCAAACCTCCAGAGTTTCCAGGACCAGATATTACGCCGGGAAGAGTTTATCAGAGAAATTAGGCAAGACCTGGAAGTATTTCGGAGATGCACCAAAGCAGATATATTTGAATTAAAGATTAAAGCCCAGGATTCATCCAACCCATGGGTGCTCAGCTTTCTGCTGAGTTCCCCCCGGTTCATAGGGGCAACTGTGGAGTTCAATGTGCTACTTGCCTTTGATGTCCTGGGTGAGCACCCCAGCCCCTGGGGCCTCGGCTTCTTCCTCTAACTCAGCCTCTTTCTCTTTTCTACTTCTCAGCTGAAATCTGTAATTTGAGCTTTGCTCAAATATCCTATCATTTTAGAGCTATGAAACAGTAGGGAGATTTTAGAATTTCTCCTGAGACTAAGGTCATACATAGTCCAATCACAAAGGCCAGACGTGGTGATACACACCTATAACCCAGCACTTGGAGGCTGGGCAGGAGCATTGCCATGAGTTCAAAACCAGCCTCGGCTACATAGTGAGCTCAAGACCAGCCTGAGCCATATAGAGAGACCCTGTCTACAAAAACATTCAGCACAGAAGGAGTATTGAATAGCAAAGTGGCTAAATCTGGGACAAAGACATTCCTTAGAAAACATTTGCAGGGGGCCAGGGAGATGGCTCAGTAGAATAAGCGCTTCCCTGGCAAGCGCAAAGGTCTGAGCTCAATCCCCAGTTCTGCCAAAAAAAAAAATAATAATAATAATAATAAATAAAACATTTGTAAAGCTGACTGGTTCTATTCATGACAAAGTATGTGGATTTATCTTTCTGGGTTTGTGTGTCTGCTTCGACCTCAGTCCAGCTGCTATGCAGAGCAGCGTAGCTCTAGCTTAAAATTAACGTTCATTTAATCTCCCTCTCCCTTACACGAGGAAACCTTGTCAAACTTCTACAAAATGTTGTGTATGCATAAGAAGATGTGCATAGGATGCATAATCTCTCTGAGGCTCAGTCCCCATCCTAGGAGAACTGGTAAAAGCTGACCACCTCTAACCCATCATTATTTCCATGTTAAATGATCATCTGCACTATAACCGTACAACAGGCTGGCCACAGTGCAGGTTTTCAAAACTCCAGTTCCCCAGTGGTCATACAGACACCCCAGAACACCAGTGTGTGGAATAGCTGTGATTTGTATTTTTTTAAAATTCTTTTGACACAGAGTTTCACTGCAAAGTTCAGATTCACAGTGATCTTCCTGTCTCAGCCTCCTCAGAGGAGAGGACCAGTAAGTACCTACAGAGCCCTGGGCCACGAATAAGCCAGGGGCAAAGCCTCTCCCCAGGACCCTGACAGTAAATACAGAGGAGAGATGGGATGCAGTAGTGTGTTGCTTAGCAAAGGGAGCAAGGCCCGAGAAATAGCATCTTCGGGTGATTTTGCTATGCGCAGATGTCGCAGTAAATATTCACCCAGCCCAGATGGTCCCACCTACTGCTCACCTAGGCCAGGGCTGGGGTGCACATGGGTATAGTATGTGTAGAGCAGGGCTGTGGCTCAATGCTAGGCCACTTGCCTAATGCGGCCCAGGCCACAGGTCCATCCCTGCTGCAAAACAGTACAGGAAGAGAAAGAGGGAGGATGGGGAAGATGAAGGGGACACTGGCCTTTCATGCCTTCTTCTGAATGCTTTCTCCCAATTAACATATATGTTAATAGGTTATATAATAAATATATGCTAAAAGGGTATATGTTATATATCACATGTACATGCTAACAGGCTACACATGTGGGATAGCTTGTTGCTCCTTGGGTGATAATAATCCAAACATGAGGGTGAACCAACTACTGGAAAAAATGGTGGAGCTGAGAGATGCAAAGACAGGCTGCATCAGGGAACCGCACACGGACAGAGCCAACCGTTCCACAGCAAACTTTTTATACTTACAAACATTTTGTAAGCAGAAGGAGTACACTAATTCCAGCTTGGCTTATCTTCCTTTTAATGTTATAATAAAAAAAAATTTAGGGCCGGCAGTATGGCTCAGCAGACTAAGCACTTGCTTAGGTAAGCACAGGTTCGATGCCTGGCCCCGCGTGCCATGCTGGACCCACCCCTGGGCGCACTGAGCCAGCGATGGAGTCTGGGCATGGTGGCACATGCCTATGATCCCAGCACTAGGGATGCGGAAATCAGCAGGATCACTAGAGTCCGAGCTGCATAGTGAGACCCTGCACACACACACACACACACACACAAAGAAAAAAACTTTAAAAAACAGAAATAAAGGAAGTGCTGTTACTTATGTGCATGAACTAACTCATGCATTTTCCAGGTACCCCAGGGCGAATTCTCCTCACTCAGTTCTGCTCAGGCAAGGCCCACGGTCTGATGCCTCAGGAAAAGTCCGGTACAGTTAACACACACAGTGCTGACACAGCCACACGTGTGACAACCGGCAGCCCAAGGGCTTTGTGACCACCAGGATCACCTCGGCGCATGGGTAATGTGCCACTGTAGGAATCTGCACGGGCTGCGCTGGGAGACGGGCATGTCTCGGTTGCAGTGTGGTGTCATGGGGCCACCAGTGTTTGTGCAGCGGGTCGCTGTCTACCGTATGGCACAACACAGGACTACTCCTAACTGCTATCAGAACTCCTGCCTCTTACCCTGCACCTCACAATCAGTGAGTACTCCTCTCACCCGCAGGGATGAAAGAACCCCAGAGAAGGGCTGGCAGCTTGAAGCTACAGTTTCTACCCTAACAGTTCAGGTCACCAGACCCCACAGACCAGACCCCAAAATATACATCAAGCTCATCGAGGAGTGCACCTCCCAGCAGACAGAGGGCGAGTTCTCCAGCTGCTTCATTGAGCTCCAGAAAGACTTCGTGAAGCGGAGGCCTGCCAAGGTGAAGAGGCTCATCCGCCTCGTCAAGCGCTGGTACCAGCTGGTATGGCCCCCTCTGCCTGCAGGGACCTCGGGCCCACTCTAGATGGGGGGTGGGGAAGGGGAGGGAAGGGCAGACAAAGGGGGGTGAAGGAGGGAAGAGAGGGGTGGGGAGGGACCTAGAGCAAGGGAAGAGGAGAGAGAGAGGAGGAGGAGATCTGGAGAGGGAGGCAAGAGGGGGATGCAGCAGGAGAGAGAAGGAAAGGGGAGGAGGCCGAGGGAATCCATGCCTCACTCTGGGTGGTTTCTCCCACTCACCTTTAGATGAACCAATTTTCTCTTTTTTTCTTTTCATTTATGCATTTGATACAGGGTCTCACTATGGGACTCGTAGTGATCCTCCTGTTTTCAGCCTCCCCAGTGTTGAGATTACAGGCGTGTGCCACCACACCCAGTCTCATTGGTCTGCTCAGTGCACCTGGGGGCGGGGCCAGCCCATCATGTGGTACCAGGGATCGAACCCCAGTCCCTGCACTTGCCTAAGCAGGTGCTTAGCTCCCTGAGCTATATCACCAGCCCCCAATTTTCTCTTTAGCTCTATCTAATTTCCTATGGAGTGGTTAGTTACAGTTGTCACTTGTACCCTAGGATTTCTATTTTATTCTTTTTCAAATCTGATGTGTTATTTTGATGGCATTTAATTTCTGCTGTTTCAAGTCCTTATTCCTCTGACCATGATGCCCAGAGTTACTGTATTAATCCTTCCCAGCAATATATTTTCTGGAATTTCCCCTCGTCCTTTTTCTCCTGCCGGTCACCACCTTGTTGTCTTATTTCCACGTGGGCCTGGGTATCTATGTGCTACTCATTGTACTCTTCATTGTGGGATGCTAAGTCAGCAGCCCAGCATCAGACACAGTGGGGCTGGGATCCAAGCCCGCGTCAGGGCCTGGTGAGCTCGCCTGCTGTCCCAGAACTCTGGAGGCTCAGGGAGCAGGGTGGCAAGTTTGAGTCCAGCTCAGCAGCTGAGGGTGTTGGGGAGAACCTATCTCAGCACCGTAAAGTGAGGTGAGAATGTAAATGAACACAAAGACCCTGGGTCCAATCTCTAGTAGTGTAAAAAGTGATAACAAAAATGATAGTGCAGGGGGCTGGTGAGATGGCTCAGTGGTCTAAAGTACTTAGAACAAGCTTAGCAAAGCACAGGGACTGCGGTTCAATCCCCCAGCACCACATGCCAGCCAGCCCGCCCCCTGGTGGGCTGAGCTGGCCACACACACACACACACACACACACACACACACACACAAATAAAATTTAAAAAAAAATTTAAATAAAAAAATGATAGTGCAGAGCGAAATATTGAGTGTGTATGACTGGAAGTCAGTAAGGCTTTACAAACTCAGGTCTGCAGGCTGGACTGGGCTGTGACAAATGGGCTTTACACAGAAGCTGGGCAACCCTGTTTTCCTGATTGTTTTTCCTTCCCTCAGTGCAAGGAGAAGCTTGGGAGTCCCCTGCCACTACAGTATGCCCTGGAGCTGCTGACCATCTATGCTTGGGAAAGTAGGAGTGGGAGATCCCATTTCAACATGGCCCAGGGATTCAAGACTGTCTTAGAATTAATTATGGGCTACCAGCAGCTCAGCAGCTACTGGATGGAGTACTATGACTTTGCAAACCCCAAGATTAGAGACTACCTGATCAGCCAGCTCAGGAAGCCCAGGTGCCCCCACCCCTGGCTCAGCCCCACATGCAAGGGAGCAAACCCTGATAGTGTCAGCACCCGAAGGATGGAGGGCAGCCACGCCCTGCACTTACTGAGCATCTCCTGCTGCCTGTCACTGCACTGGCCCCCGACAGCTGCCACTTGGTGGGAACCACAGCCTCTGGCACTAGGGGGGGGACTTCTGCTCACCCTTTGACAGATGGGGAAATTGAGGTTCTGAGCTTGTCCTGAACTTGACCAGAAAACGGGAAGGAGCTTGTTCAGACGGAACAGACAGTGAACTAGGTGGGTGGCCCTGGAACACATCAGCGATGACGATCACTTTTGCTGGGACAGAAAGCTCTCAGGGGTGAGCAGCACCATTCCTGGAAGTCTTGTGCACTGAACCTCTGTTTTGCTGTGGCTGCGGTGCTGAGCATTTCGTGAGACTCAGTTGGTTCATCTTTGCACCCTATCCTCTGAGATGGGTGTGTTTGATGTGCGCCTCTCCCATTTCACAGATGAGGAGACTGAGGCTTCAGGAGGGCAGTGAGCTGCCCAAGGGCATGCTGCCGACAAAAGGCACAGGAGGAGATGGGAGCCGGTTCATGCTGAAGGTCCCTCTGCTCACATCCTCTGCTCACTGTGGGGCAGGACTTAGGGTACACCCGGGAGCAGTGCCCTGCTGGGTCCTGTCCTCATCTGCCCAGGCTGCTGTCAGCTCTTCCAGGACGGAGCCCGACTCCTCACTGGCCCTCTCTGATGATTGCTCCCCAGGCCTGTGATTCTGGACCCAGCAGACCCTACTGGAAACTTGGGTGGTAGCGACCCAGAGCGCTGGAGGCGGCTGGCACAGGAGGCTGAAGCCTGGCTGAGCTACCTGTGTGTCCCGGGAGAGAATAGCTCCCATCTGGAATCGTGGAAGTGTTCCCGGTGAGACCTGTTTCCACCTGTTACTCCACCCACCCCTGCACAGCTTGCGAGGTGCCCCTGTAGCTGCGACCATGGTCACCTAGGGTACGGCTTCCTGCTCACACTCACCCATATCAGCAGGCACACAGGCTGGGCTCCATATCGTACAACAGTTTTGAGCCCCAGAATTTTCACTCCCTTGTCTGGAGCTCACTGCCCTGGCCCCAATTCATCAGGATGCCGCTCCTGAGAGTCTCTCTGGGCTCAAGTTCTGCCTAAGCCCTGAGCACACATGATGTCATTCAAAACTCACGAGGGCCCAGGAGCCTGCTTGCAATCGCCCTGCCTTGTGGACAGCAGAAGAGGCCCCGAGAGGTGCAGTCACTTCCTAAGGTCCCTCAGCTGAGAGTGGCAGGGCTGGACTCAGACAGCTTGGGCTCCCAAGCCAGCACACAGTGCAATGCACTAAGCCAGCAGCTGTCTGGTCTCATCCCTTCTTCCCAGCTGACAGCTGGGAGACTTGAAGCAGCTGGGAATGTGGGCGGGGTCACACAGCTAAGGAGGGCTGCAGAGACCTGAACTTGGCTCTTTCTATGGGGCTGGAGAGCTTCTGATGCTAGGGAATTGAGCATGTCATGGTGTCATGGGGGTGGAGTTTAGGGTATGGGATGTTTGGGAAGAAGGCTCTGGATCCAACAGCCTGCAAGGGAGGAAAGGGAGGAGTCTCGGTGGCCATTAGCCCTGTCACAAACAAACAAGTGGGCACCAAATATGTGCCCTTCCCTGCCTAAGCCTTCCAAAGGGGTTGACAGGGGAGCCAGTCTTCTGCCACCTCTGCAGCAGCTGGGACCTTCCAGGGCTCACTTAAGGGGATGCAGGTGGCCAGTGCTCAGGACGACCAGTCCTGAGGCAAGAAGACCAGCTCCTGATGGAATCACGTTTCATCTCCGCAGTCTGAAGCAGCAAATGAGGACCTTGGGGTGTTCTGGCCACAGGAAGATATCACCTCGAATCCAGGCCCTGGCTTGTGCCCACGAACACCAGCTCAGCAAGTACAGAAAACGTGGTCATCCGCTCTCCTGTCATTGATTGGCTTATCAGGCACTGAAGAAGAGACAGTAGACCCCAGAGGTGACCAGAGAGTTAGGCAAGAGGGTGACATTTATTCTCTTGATTTCCATCTGTGTCCCATTCAAGGTCAATGACAATAAATAAAAACAACGGCCGGTGTGTGTTGGGCATTCATGAACTTCAAGGTATCAGGAAAGGCAGATGTGAGATGCGTGCTCACGGATTCAACTGAAAATGCTTCCCAAGTGTTTGCTAGGCCTAGGCACGGAGCGCACAGCAATGGACGAAGCAGAGTAAGGTCCCATCCTCGTGGGCCTGATATTTTGACATTGGATGACTTATTTCAATTATTAGTTAGAAAGAGCAACATCTGTGTAAAACTCAGAATTCTAATCCATGACCTTGGAGTGTCTTCTCATTTAATCTAGTAGTTCTAGCAATGTTTTGTTCTTTTCCTTGAAGATAGCTTTCATGCCTATCATATTTATTCCTACGTATCTTTTTGACATAATTATGTCTAGTACATTTTCTCTACTTTCATTCTGCATTGGTCAGTAACTAGAGGATTTAAATGTTTTCCATGTCTTCGTTTGGTTATTTGTTTGGTTATAGCATTGTGTGTGATCTTTATATTCTGCATTTTCCGATTTCACTAATTTTATGTATTTGTATTATTTCAGTAGCTATAAGAAATAATAAAGCAATTATTCTTCCCCAAAAAAATAAAAATAATTTTCAAGAAGTGTTTCTCTCAGCTAAACTCTGTTAGGCCCTACAAACCAGGCAAGCCCAGAGCCAGGCAGCTGCCATTGCTGGACCCCAACACCTGACACCACCAACTCAGGAAGACAAAAGGGTTCCTTAGGCTCAGGCCTCCCGTGTTTTGGGCTGCGGTGAGGCAGTTCAACCTAGCAGAAGCCTGTGCAGGAAGAAAGAGCTCTGTTTATGGTCAGGAGGAAAACGAAAGAGGGAGAGACCAGAGCCTTGGGCTCCCTTTGAGGCCACATCCCAGGCTTAGAGAGGCCCCTCAGCAGGCCCCCACTCCAAAGGTTGCACCAGCTCTCCGCAGGGCCACCCTAGGGAGGCCTCCCTTCCTCAGTTGGGAGGAACCAATGCTTTACACATGGCCTTAGGGCAGCATTTGGGAGCCAAGCTGTGGTCCCCAGGGTGCAGACAGCTCTGGGCCACCCGGAGTGGGGCTGCTGGTTCAGGGACAAAATCCTGCGCTTGAGGAAGACAGAAGCAGGTACCTGTGGGCGGGCGGTGGAGCTGACTGAGTGAGAATCAGAGCACCTGAGCAGGGACATTTCCAACCCATGCCGGGCTCCTCCCTGCTGAGGAAACAAAGCCAAGTGTGGAAGGTAAATGTTTACCCAGCACAGAGGGCATGAGGAAGAAGAAACTTACTGAGACCCAACTTTGTGCTGAGGTCCTCCCAGCTCAATGAGCAGTGACACTGACACCTTGCTGCCTTTGACCCCTGGGTAGGTCCTCTTGGGCCCCTCTTACAAAAAACCTGCACCCTGCCTGGGAGATGTCAGGCCCTATCCAGGCAGCAGCCCCTCCCCAGCCAGGCTACACGTCCACACCCAACTTGCATTCCTAGGAGATGGGGGTGGGGGCACCCTGGCCCAGTCAAGTGGCCACTGTGGAGCTGACTCCCTTATGTCTGGCTGGGGCACAGCTCCAGCTCTGAGCATCCTGGAGGCGATTTGTGGGTAAGGAAGGATCCAGGCCAGTGGCAGTCACCTATCCTGAAAGAAGCCTGAGCTTAGGGTTATGATTATTCAAATCATGTTTATAAGGGGCTGATTCCAGCTTGCTCCTGGACTCAGGGCTAAGGACACAAAGGCAACAGGAGAGTCTTCAGGGCCAGTGTGGTCAGCAGACAGCGCTATTTATTACAGGCCTAATAAACACAGCTCCATTACCCTTCTAATTACCTAATACCTTACCTAGCGATAAATCATTAAGTAATTTAGTAGAGGTCTATTAAGTGCAGTGGCAGGAAGCAGGAGGTGTGGTGGGGCAACCAAGTCAGCCTGGGTAGAGATCTTTGAGGGCTCCTGAAACCAGGAAGAAGAATGCAAGGGTGTCCACCAAATGAGGGCAGGAAAGCCATGCTTAACAGGGGAACCACCTGTGCAAAGGCCCCGGTGACAGGGATGGCTGAGGCCCTTGGGAAACTGAAAGTCACCCACCAAAGAGTGGAGTGTGGAAGATGAGGGGAAGGTCACCAGACAGCTAGAGAGGTCGCAAGCATACTGGATTGATTTGCTAGAGCTGGGAGGACAACACACCTATGAAGTATGTAACAAAGTAAGGGCCCGTCAAACAGCTCAGCGGATTAAGGAGCCTGCTTAGGCAGGGGCCAGATGCAGGGGCCAGAAGTTTGATCCCTGGGACTGCCGTGCTGGCCCTACCCCCGGGGCTCACTGAAACAATTGAGACTAGGTGTAGAGGTGCTGTAATCCCAGCACCTGGGAGGCTGTGAATAGAACAATTACTATGAGTCCGATCTATGCAGTGAGACCTGTAGATTCTGTAGCCCCTGTCCTAAAATACAAAAAAAAGTAACCAAGCAGGAAGTTACACAACAGATAGTCTCCAGTTGCTGTCCAAGTTGAAGTCCATAACCATGATGTCTGGGGGCTGGTTCCACCTGCGGCTCCCGTCTCTGGACTGCAGCACTCAGAGCTCCGCCTGGCTTTGGCCTCCTGTGCCAGCAGCCTCCAGCTCCTGGGTCTCCACCACCACATCTCAGAATCCCAGGTCTGAGCAGCACCACGAGGGACCACACGCCCTGAGGTGGGTCTCTCCCTGCCCTCTGCCTTCATTGCTGGGGTCAGAACCCAAGACCTTGCGTGCATGTACCAGGCTAGTGTTGTGCTGCTGGGCCAACCCCCCACCTCTGAGTGTTAAGTGCAAAGCACTTAGAACAACATGGGGCGTCTAGTAATGGTTCATAAATACTATCTCATTTAATAGATGAACAGACAGGCTCAGAAGACGACAGCAGTTGACACAAGCTTGTCCAGACAAGGGCCACACTCAGACCCAAGATCCTCTCACTCTACAGCCCTGGCCTTTTTAGCATCTGAAACTCTGACCTTCCTTATGAAGACGGCAGAACTCAGGCCCAGGGAAGCCCAGCGATGCCCCTGAGGCAGCCCAGTAAGACCTAGACAACTGCGAGAACAAGGGTCTCCTGCGGGCCAGGGTGCAGCTGCCCCTACCTGAACCAGGCGTCCCCTTTGCGCAGACACTGGTGGACAGGTGAGGAGCTGGACTAGACGCACGATCCTCCTCATCCCGGTTGCCTCGGGAGGCGCAAACCAAATCAAGGGAAATGCTCAGTAATGAACAGACTTCTCGCACTAACTGCGAGCTCCCAGCGCTGCTGGAGAGAGAAAGAAGGAAAAGAGAAACCTCGGAAGACAGGAAGAGGAGGGAGGGAGAGGGGAGGAGGAGAGGAAGAAACGAAACTGAAAGCTGTGGCTCCTCTGCCCGTTTCCGGAGACCTGGCTCCTCATCGCCTCCCTCCCACCTGTCTGTCCCTGCGGGCGATCGCCATGGACCTGTATCGCACCGCGGCGCCGGCACTGGACACGCTGGTGGCCCGCAGCCTGCAGCCGCAGCCCGCGTTCGTGGCGGCAGCGCGGCGCGCGCTCGGGAACCTGGTCGCCGCTCTGCGGGAGCGCGGGGGCCGCCAGGGGCTGAAGGTGCTGAAGACCGCCAGGGTGAGCGGGCGTGGGTGAGGGCAAGATGCCCCGCGGAGCTCAGCGAAGCCGCGGCTGCAGGGCCTCTTGGCGCCCACCGGCAGAAGGGGAAATTGAGGCACGGGGAGTCCAAAGCAAGTCCTCTGACACTGACCCTGCTTCTTTGACCCCTAAGGCTGCTCGTCCTTCCTTCTTTCATTATGCGCTCATTCTTCACTCGGTTATTCAGACTGTGGCCCTCCCGCTCTCCCTGGAGAGAGTACCACTGCTGTCACTTGGACACCGTGTCGCGCTGCTGCTGTGACCTCTAGGGACCTCATAGACTCGGAGAATCAAGCTGCCTTGGGGTACACCCAGGTGTTTCAGGGTGGATTTGGGGAACTGGGTTGCGGGAGGTGGGAGAGTGGGCTTGGGACAGTGACCTCCATGCTTCTAGTAGGGAGTCTGGGGAAGGAGTAGAGTCTCGGTGCTCAGAACTGAGGCCTCTGTGTGGATGGGGGGGGGGGAATCTCAGTGCAACATATATTTAAAGGTTTCTGAAGCCCTGGCACCCATAGTCTCCTGGGAGCCTAGAGGGGACCTTGTGGCTGAGTGCCCCACACTAGGCAAAGGTTGGGGTAGGGGGTCAGATATCTGAGCTTCTACCACAGGTGCATTGGGGTGTCTAGGGACAACTCTCCCAGCCAGTGGGTTCCTGGGGGGGGTGGCTTCTGCAGGGCCGGTCTGGGCTGGGGGTCACCTGGAACTTCTGGCTAAAGCAGAAAGCAAAGGAGGTCATAGACCTACAGACAACCCCCACACACAGCCGCAGTCCTCATCACCACTGCCCAAAATGTTTCTGGACACAGCCAAACAGAATAGCCTGCTCTCAAGGGTCACAGTTTTAGCTGTGCCCATGAAAGTGTGTCAGGGCGAAATGACATCAGTGTCCCCCCCCCCAGAGAGAAAAAGAGGGAACAATGCTGTATTTAAACTCCTCTCTTTTTCCATAGGATTTTCGGGGGGGGGGAGAGAAAGAATGGAGGACTTGGGGGTGACTTTCAGGGTTCCCCCCTCCAGAGTTTGGGAGCACAGCAATGATATTTGCCTGTCTCGGTTCATGAGAACAAATAAATAATCAATAAATACAAGGGTGTCCCATCAGATGCCTTCATCCTGTGCTTGCAGTGGCAACAGCCCCTCACCTAGCGGATCCCATTTTGAGTGGGTGGGGGTTCTTACTAGAGGGACCCATCCAGGCCTTGCATTGGCTGGCTATGTGACTCCCGTGAGCCCCTGGGGTCCACCTGTGATGGCGTCAGCGTCCCCGTGGGTGGGCAGCCAGATCCCGAGAGTCTAATGCTATGAGTTTCCTTCCCACCTCCTGGAGCTGAAAGCTTTGCAGAAAAAATGCTGGTTCTCAGAGTGCTTTCAGAAATTCAGTGAATCACACCAGTTTTACACGTACCCCAAGCAGAAGGCACAGCTATATGGGCCCTGCAAACCATTTATCAAGTTGTGCTTTTGTACAAGTTGACTGCCAACATTAAAACCCCAGGTTTATTGGTTAAAATTGCTGCACTCACAAACTCCGACCTTTGCCCCAGGCCTACGCTCCTGCATGGAGTCAGATTGGTTCCTAGCGCTGCTTCACTGTGTCCACGCTGCCCACTCGCCTCACTCAGGGCCCCTCCCAGCCCTCACAGGCACTACAATCGGGGTGTCTTTATCTTCCCAGGGAGGCTCCTTTGGCCGAGGCACAGCTCTCAGGGGTGGCTGTGATTCTGAAATCGTCATCTTCTTCGACTGCTTCGAGAGCTACCAGGTCCAGAAGCACCAGCGTGCGGGGACCCTCGAGGGGATGCAGCCCCTGCTGCAGGCCTGGCAGCGGGACCTGGCCCCGGGGCTGAGCATTCAGTTCCCTCCACAGCACAAGCCCGGGGTCCTGCAGTTCCGAATGGTGTCCGTAGACTTTGACAGCTGGATGGATGTCACCCTTGTGCCCGCCTTTGACATGCTGGGTGAGGATCCCTGGCCCATCTCTGGGTTAGGGGACGGGACTGGCACCCAGCTCTGGCCCTACCACTGGGCAGCCCTCTATCCCTCATGGCCTCACTTTCTTAACTGCACATATGGGATCTAGAGCAGATGGGAGCCAGGAAGCTCCTTCCCCTAGTCAGGATGTTGGTATCAAAAGGTTTGTCCTTTGTCAGCCCTCCTACTGCTGTCCCACAAGGCCCTTCGGGAAATGCCCCAGACCCCATGGCTGATCCTTAGGTGGCTGGCAGCAGGGCTCTGGGACAAGACCCGAATCTGACAAATCTATGCTAATGAAGCAGACAGCAGGCATTTGTTTTATAGAGCTATTGGAAGAATGAAATGCATTAATACATGTGACAGACTTAGAAGAGTCCCTAGCAAATGAGAAGGGGTATATGAGAGCCTCTCTCTCTTTTTTATTGTTTTGTTTTCTGAGACAGTCTTTTTTTTTTTAAACATATTTGGTACAGGGTCTCACTACACAGGTTGGACTCATAGTGATCCTCCTGTTTTCAGCCTCCCCAGTGCTGGGATTATAGACATGTGCCACCATGCCCAGACTTGGTGGCCAGTTCAGCACTCCTGAGGACACGGTCAGCAGGGATGATGGGCCAGGGATTGAACCCCAGTCCCTGCGCTTACCTAGGCAGATGTTTAGTCTGCTGAGCTATCTTGCTAGTCCTTAAGGCGGTCTTGCTAACTGAACTAGTGAACCTTCCTGCCTCAGCCTCCCAAGTGCTAGGATTACAAACACACATCACACTCTTCTGGAAGTGCTAAGATGCCCCTGTACATGCCTTTCATGAAGGGTCTGGGGGCTGGGGAGATAGCTCAGTGGAGTAAGTGCTTGCTTGGCAAGCACAAGGTCCTGAGTTCGATCCCTGGTACCACCAAAAAATAAAAATAGAATAAAATAAAATAAAGGATATGTAGAAGATGGGCAAGGCAGTGATCCTGAGAATCTTCAGAAGATTTTTTAATCTAGCAGTTAATTGGAAAGATTCTCACCCTGACTAACTATATATACTGATACCTGTGAACTAAG